AAAAAAAAAAAAAATAAGAATATGAGCTTTGGTGTCAGACTGTCTAAAGCTTCAGCACTTTCTGACTAATTGAATTTAAGCAGCTTAGTTAACCTCTTTACACTCGTTTCCTGATCTATAAATTGGTAGTGGTCGTATCTGTTTTGTTATTGTGAGAATTAAATGAGTTACACCGTATAAAGCTCTTTTAATACATGGAAATCACTCTATTAATACCTGTATTTATGCTCTTTCTCCATATGACCTCCTAAGTATAAATTTATTAGCTATGGAAAAGTTGTAGACAGTGTGTGCTATGTTGAAGTTTTATCTTGGATATAAAAACTGAAATGTTGATGTGAAATTTTTGGTAAACCTCTATAAGGCATAGCTTATATATGTACAGCTTTGTTTTGTTTCCTATCTCTTTAGACTGAATTGATTTCATAGTTCATTTCTATGCTATTTGTAGAAAACTTCCCAAGCATCACCTGGCACAAATGAACAGTCTTCAGCAACAGCTTCTGCTAGAGATTCTGAACAAATTGCAGAATTAAAACAGGTAATTTTCTGGCTTGATCCAAGTTCTAGTTTGTGTTGTTTTAATTGTAATAGAGTAACAGCCATGTAGTTTCATTACTCAAGAACTACTTTGTTAGTGTAAGCAAAACTTGATAGTGAAGAGAGTTATTTGAAAGTCCAGAAGGTTTTTTAATTATATGGTAATGGTATTTTGCTTTTTATTAAGTGTTTTTATTTTTTAATTATGTTCTTTATAACAGATTTGAGCATCTCACCCAGGTTATTTGTAGATTATCCATGAACTAACAATTAAGGAAAATTTAAGTATATTTATAAGCTGCAAATATGAAGATATAAAATCTTATGCCTAATTTTCATATACTATTGACCATGACAATTGCATGGTTAAATGTATTGAGCGTTTAAACCATTCTGTGCAGAAGAATGTTTGTTTTTAGAATTGGAAAATGGAATAAATTTGTGTATATCTCAATTAGATGACTACCTAAAAAGCAAAACAAACTTTTTCTGCTGTAGTAATTTATAATGTCTAGAAAAGCAAATTAAATTTTTTCCTACTTGGTTATTTGTAATATTTATAATTTCCTATGAGACTTGATAGTGCACATTTAACTTTATCCGATGAGAATATTAAATGTATTTGTTCAAGAAAAGAAGAAAAAGAACTACTTATGTATAGAATTAAATATTGAAAGAAAAGCCTAGAAAAGTATCAGATTGCTCATCTGTATACTATCCCTAAACAAGTTATGTTTTTTCCTTATAAAATTTTCTTTCTTTCCTCCTTTCCTTTTTCTTCTGTCCTACCCTCCTTCCTTCCTTTCTTATAAAAAAGGAACGTATGTTTCTTCTGTTTCTTTTTAAAAAACAAAAAAAAGTAATACTAAAGGAAGAAGTGAACAACCCCACCAACCTAGGACTGACTTCCTTCTCCTCCAGTAGTCATGCGGTCCTAGCCCACTGACATGGCTGATCTGAGAGAAGAATGACTGTACGCAGAGAAACTGTGTCATATTTTGATAATGTCCATGTACCCCAGAGTAGATTTCTACAATCAAGCTTTTCAAAACAAATCATATGTCGTTAAGGATTTATAAGTTATAAATTCGTCTGAGGAAAATTAATATGCCACTTTGGTTTTATGAAGTCTACCTACACTAGAACTGTATTAAAATTAAAGGGAATTAAGTTATTAATAAATGATCTTAGTTTCTAAGTCCCAAGTAAAAATTTTACTCTTTGGGTTTCCCAATGAAACTTTAGATATTTCTAAAGAAGACAATTGCCTTTGGTTTTTTACTTTCTGTAATTTATTTTATCAATTTTACATTGTTAAAAAGATATTTTGGGGCGCCTGGGTGGCTTAGTTGTTAAGCATCTTAACCTTGGGCTCAGGTCATGATCCCAGAGTCCTGGGATCAAGTCCCGCATCGGGCTCCCTGCTCAGTGGGAAGCCTGCTTTTCCCTCTCCCACTCCCCCTGCATGTGTTCCTGCTCTCGCGTTCTCTCTGTCAAATAAATAAATAAAATCTTTAAAAAAAAAAAAGAAGATATTTTAAATGACAGTTTTGTTTCTTATATCGTAAAATCCTGTATAAAAAAGAAAACTAAAATTGTCCATAATCTCAGTGTTCCATCTCAGTGATTTAGGAATACTTCCTAGAGCACTTAAGAAAATCTTTGCATTTTGGGTGGCACAGTCGGTTAAGTGTCTGACTCTTGGTTTTCGGCTCAGGTTGTGATCTCAGGGTCATGAGATCGAGTCCCACGTCATCGGGCTCCACGCTCTGCTCGGTCTGCTTGAGTTTCTCTCCGTCTTCCTCTGCTCCTCCCCCCATGCTTGCTCTCTCTTTCTCTCTCTCTCAAATAAATAAAATCTAAAAAGCCAAAAAACAAAAAAACTTTACATTTCACCAGTTAATAGCATTCAGCTCAATTTCCCCAGCTGCCTCTCTGAGGTAACAGTGTGGACTTAACTTACAGAAATATTGTGAGGAAAGGGCTTTGAGAACTATTCTCTGCTTACTAAATGCTGTTACCGCTCTGGTCTGACCTTGAGGCTGCCTAACCCAGCCGCCTTCGTGCTCGGCTGAGATCTGATGCCGCAGCTCTCCTGCCTCAGCCCCAGCACCCCCGCTCCACTGTAAGCACCGTGGCCTTCCAGGGAGAGCACTGTAGTGTGTGTCGGTACACGAGGAATTCTGTTTTCGGTTACTGGACATACAGTTTCAAAATAGCGAGAAAATTAAATCACCTTTGGGATTTCACCTTGGTTGTGCTTTAAAGAAACTTTTTTTTTGTTCCCCCTCCGATTTCTACCTTGAGGCAAAGTCAGCTGCCGCACCAGGAGAGAGTGGAGCTGGAAGGGCTGCAAAGGCCACCGATGGGGACAGCCGGCTGTTGGCGTTGCTACAGGACACGAATGACTTGAAGGTTGCTCTGTGGTGGAGCTTTTACTTATTGCATAGCCTATGACGTAAACTCCAGGAGACTTGATCTGATTTCATTGAGTTTCTCAAATCTTTAGATGTATGAGGAAAGCTAATAGGGTGTAATTTTCGCTCACAACGTGTGCATTGCCATTTGGATGAGTGAGGATGGCACAAGTGGAGATTTTTAAGTGCCATTTCAAATACTGATAGCACATATATAAAGCAAGAATGTGTATGAATGTACTTGGAAAGTAGATATCATTGAAAGTTAAGTTTTCTTGTCAATCTCTCATCACAATAAGAAATAAAGAGTACAGGGGCACCTGAGTGGTGCAGTTGGTTAAGCGTCTGACTCTTGGTTTCCACTCAGGTCATGAATTCAGGGTCGTGAGATCAAGACCCGTGTTGGGCTCCACGCTCAGCGCAGTCTGCTTGAGATTCTCTCCCTCTCCCTCTGCTCCTCCCGCTCGTGTTCTCTCTCTCTCAAATAAATAAATAAATCTAAAAACATTTTAAAAAGAAATAAAGAGTACAGCTTTGGCTAAAACACAAGCCACACATAGGCTTTCCATTAGGCTAAGGACACAGGCACGATAGATCCTGCCAGCCTACGTGACAGAGAAATCAGAATAAGCAACATGTAGAGAAGAATGAGGTAAAAGTAACAAAACTAAAAGGCACAAATACAACCATGGAAAAGAGAAGATAATGTGTGATTGTGCCTTTCAGATTGTGGTCGGATTATTTTATCTTCAAGCCATGGATTTTATTTGCAGCTACTTTTCTTTGCCATTTGATTGTATGCATGAAGTTGGGATAAAAAAATTTTTTTAACCTGAGTTCTAATTCTTATGCCCATCAGGCTTCTCTTGTAAAATGTTTTGTGTCTTTATTTATTCCTCTGGTTACCTGAAATGGTATTAATTATCTCTTAGGTTTTTTTTTGAAAAATAGCTACTTAAAACTATTTTTTGGATGTTAAACTCTATTTTTCACAATAACCATCTTTGATGTATGGCCTAACGTAAATTCTCATGTTACTGGATGAGAGTGTGTGTGTGTGTGTGTGT